TACTATTTCCAACCAGGTTCAGTAAGAAGAACAAGGAGAATATTGACCCTTACATATACATGCCCTTTGGGAATGGACCTAGGAACTGCATTGGCATGAGATTTGCACTCATGAACATGAAACTTGCTCTCATACGAGTCCTGCAGAACTTCTCCTTCCACACTTGTAAAGAAACCCAGGTCAGTCAAGAAACTTTCTGCATAAACAGTGCCTTATCAGGAGGTCTTTGAAAAAACTAATGTATCTATATGCAAAAATGAACATGTTTATGCATCTTTTCATAATTTGTTCTATGGGAAAAGGATGTATTTGGACTTGGTACAAACTTCAAGGTTCCTTCAGCTGTGGAGCTGGAAATCTGTGTGCAATTATAAAGCACAGCTATAAAGATCATGTGGAGTGAATGCAAATTAGCATAATGTGCTTATATGTAGTTCTTAAAATCAAAGTCTTAAATTTAAAGTCTTAAATTCCAGTTTCAAGTGAAGCGGAGATGGGACGTGTTCTGCAAAAATTATGAAGTGCTGTGTTTACATCAGCATGGTGCCTGAGTGGTGCTGTCCTTTGCTAGAACTTAAGGAACTCTCTTGTAACAGCAGTTCTCAAACCCTGGTTCTACTCTGAAATCCCTAGGAGCTTTAAAATCTCCTGATGCCTGATGCATGGGTAATTTTAGATATTCTAAAATGATTCACTCAGAGTTAAGGTTTAAAAGCTCCCCACTGGTTCTCAGTTGGAGCCAAGATTGAGACTCACTGATTTTACTGCTGGATATGAAGAACTCTCACCACTGAGGGACATCCTGACTACTTGAGCACATGTTTCAGGAGCTCTGCTCCAGACAAACTAGGTACTTTTTATAATCTCATAATAAGTGTATGGATCTTCATGTCTTTATCCTCCCCATTGTACTATTTTGAAATCCTATTTTAATTCTCAAATTCCTCTGAGAGATTTTCCCTATCTTTCCAGGGCCCACTAATGGCTACTGTAGAGTACTATCACCACTTAAGTTAATACTTTGCCACGAAACCATACAATTTGGTAATTTTCTCCATATCGGTGGATATCTCCCTTCCTTGTATATTATCTCATTTTATTCCTTTTGTTAACCCCTAGCGGTACCTTAAAGGGACTTTTCCTGCTGCAAGCATTTGGAAAATGTTTAAGAAATGATTTGTTGTTTTGGAGGTCTTAATACAAGCTTTAAACTATTTTCATTTAAAAATTTAACAGATGTCATTTGTATGTGTGCATGTGTGTGTATATATATCTGTCTGTTTCCAGGGACAATCCATAGCAGAGTTAAATCATAAGGTGGTGTATATACAGGATGATTTGAAATACCTCTCCTGAAAAACTTAAAGAACAATGATCATTGAGTAATATAAACAATGATTGATAAGGTTAATCTGAAGGTTGGAGTGAATGT